GTGGTCGTGAGGTGAATGGATTCTACCTTCTGGATGAGATTTCGAGACATCAGAGCCATCATGTTAGCAACAACAGTAGTAGTGGGTCAAAGTCAGTGAACCAGATTATGCTTCGGCACAATCGCTTGGGACATCTTTCTTTTAGTTCTTTGAAATGTCTTTTCCCAAAGTTGTTTAAGTCTATTCAATTATCTATTTTGGAGTGCGAAAGTTGTTAGTTAGGAAAACATTGTAGACAGTCTTTTAAACCAAGTAATAAAAGTACTTCTGCTTTTAATATTGTTCACACTAATGTATGGGGGCCATATCAAATCCCTTCCATGGGAGGATTCCATTACTTTCTCTTGTTTGTGGATGATTATACACGATATTCTTGGATATATTTGATGAGATCACGTGATGAGGTTCCTAACTTAGTACGACAGTTCCACCAGATGGTTCTCACACAATTTGGAGTGAGAACTAAGGCTTTTAGATCAAATAATGCCAGAGAGTACTTTGAGAAGGACCTGACTACGTATCTCTTAGAACATGGTGTAGTTCATCAGAGCAATTGTGCATACAGCCGTGCATTTGATTCCTATGCAGTTCTGGGGAGACACATTGTGGAGGTGGCAAGGAGTCTTACGGTGTGTGCTTCAATTCCTATGCAGTTCTGGGGAGATGCAGTTCTTACAGCCGTGCATTTGATTAATCGTGTTCCTTCACGGACTTTGGGGTTTAAGGTTCCATTTAGCCTTCTTTTTCTAGATGGAGAGACATTTCATATACCTTTGAGGGTTTTTGGTTGTGTTTCTTTTGTTCACATTCTTTGCCCTCTTCGCATGAAATTGGATCCTAAGGCCAAGAAATGTGTTTTTCTTGGGAATGCTCAGAACCAAAAGGGGTATTGCTGTTATGACCCAGTGTCGAAGAGCAGATTTGTCACTATGGATGTTACCTTTTTTGAATCCACATTCTTCTTCTCGAGTGGTTCTCCTTGGGGGGAGAGTTTTGGGGAGGAAAACTCACAATCTATTCCTCTTCCTGTTTCTATGGTGCCTCCATCAGTTCAACCAGCACCTGCACCTCCAGTTTCATTACTTGAGCCACTACGGGCAGCCTCACAGAAATATCAGTGCCGACAAATGATGGTTGAATCCACACATCCTCAACCCACACCACTCTTTGTCAATCCTTTTGAAACTCTAGATTTGGCAGATACAGTTCCAGGTATTCCTCTTGAGCTTGAGCCTGTTATGTTTTCTAATGATAATGCTTTTGTTCCTAACACCATTGTTGCAGTTGATTCCACTGACCTTGATCTTCCCATTGCATTTCGTAAGGGAAAGAGAAAGTGTACAGCCCACTGCATTTCACACCATCTTTCCTACAATGCCTTATCACCTCTGTCAGTCCTTCTGAAACTCCAGATTTGGTAGATACAGTTCCAGGTATTCCTCTTGAGCTTGAGCCTGTTATGTTTTCTAATGATAATGCTTTTGTTCCTTACACCATTGTTGCAGCTGATTCCACTGACCTTGATCTTCCCACTGCATTTCGTAAGGGGAAGAGAAAGTGTACAGCCCACTGCATTTCACACCATCTTTCTTACAGTGCCTTATCACCCCCCTCCTACCATGCTTTTCTTTCTTCCTTGGGTTCTGTGTCTATACCTAGGAATGTTACTGAGGCTCTCTCCAAACCTGAGTGGAAAACAACCATGCAAGAAGAGATAGATGCTTTGGTCAAAAACCGAACTTGGGAAATAGTTGATCTCCCCCCAAACAAGGAGACAGTCGGATGTAGATGTGTATTCACAGTGAAGTATAAGGTCGATGGCAAGATAGAGAGGTACAAGGCAAGGTTGGTAGCAAAAGGGTATACTCAAACCTATGGTGTTGATTATCTGGAAACCTTTGCACCAGTAG